TTTTGTGCTCCTTAGAATGTGAGATTACAAAATTTTAACTTCCTTTTTCCAAATTTCAAAACTAGTTTCATGGATATTTTAATCAACTCAGAAGAACTGACGAAGTCATTTTGGTAAGAGGATAGTTGCCATACTGGACTTAAGCAGACTCTTTGGTATTTGCAACTGTTATTGGGAGTGTAGACTACTGATTCTTCAATAAAAATATATTGTTGAAAATAAATCTGCATTGAACTATTTAGATTTCTATTTAATCCACTATAAAAAAGAAATTCAACCTCTACCTCTTAACATATTGGAATTGCAAATAAAAGATAAATTATTATTATTTTGTCAAAAAAACAGACAATTGCTGAATTTCAAAGTAGATTACAAACATACTTGCAATAAAACAATACATATAATATATATATATATATAAAAGTAATTAATCAATTTAACTTTAGTTACAAAAACAATATATACAATACCAAGTTTATACATAACTGTCATGGAAAGCCAATTAAAGTCCTTTAATAAATAATTTCTTGCTTTTTGTAGAAATTGATTTTCAGAACACATCATGAATTCAATATTAATTTCATTAGCTAGTCTATGCATCTCAATTATTGGATTCTTATACCAGAAATCAGTTCTTGCAATTGGAATTCTAAAAGACACCCGAGACTGAACTCTTGCAAGTATATTCAGTTTTGAGGCAGTTTTTATTAAATAAATTTACTAAGCAAATCCAAATATTCTGCCGCTTGTTCTTAATTGTGTGATAACTTCAGTGTTGATAATTTATGTTTCCAAGCAAAAAAAAAAGTTAAAAATCAGTTTTAAAATTTTTCTGTTTTGTATAAATGTTATTGTTATTATCACTATTATTAAGCATTCTGATGATTTTGTTTCAGAAAATGTTTTCTGAATGAGGATTCTATGGTAAACACCAGAACAAATCAGTTTCAGCAACTCTCTCATGGAGCACTTAATTGTCAAACTTTCTAAGCCATTTGGAAGAAGTTAACATGTTTCTTACAATATACATCATTAATTATCTCTTGTTCAAGAATTAAATTGTAAATCCTAGTTTTATAAGAACCTTTCTCATTCAATTAGCGTTTTATTCCAAAGTTCATTATAGATACTCTCTGGGATACCTCAAAAAAATAAAAATATTTTTATTTGAAGTCCTGTTCATTAACTTATTAAAGAATGAAAGAAACAGTGGAACATTTAGGTAACAACAAAAGTAAGTATTATTTGTGTTTTGCCAAAACATTTTCACTTTAGGCAAGATATTGTAATACTTGGTTTGTTCTGTGGATGAAAGTTGTTGTACTGTACACATTTTAAAAGTTACAAGGATGGATACCTTTTGGATCAGAAAAGAGCTAGGTAAGATGGTGAAAGGAAATAGTGTTTACAGACTAATTTTTTGTCTCTTAAATTCCGTGTAAACCATGAATGTTAATTTCCAATTTTTCACTTTGAAAATGCCTTTGCCCGAGAGGTTGAGAACTATGGGCTGCTGATTACGCTATCAGGTTTTTCAAAACTATGTTCTCTAGATCTAACTATTAAGATTAAATTTATTTTATTGGAGAGCACATTAACTATTTTAATGTCAGTTGAGAGGTAAATAGTAATAGTATAGAGGTTAAAAAAAACATCAATGATTCCTGTCCATGAAACTGAAGTGGCATTAGTTTTTGTATACGTAATGTTGATTTCAACTTTCGCTAATGTAAATTGTGTTATAAGAAGTGCAGCACAGCGAATTTATGGCTCAGTGTCAAAGTGTTATTCTAGAACTTTGGGAGTAGCGGGTTCAATTCCCAGTCTGCATAAATATTTTTATCTATTCTACAGTGCCATAAAATCTACTAATTACAATATTCAATATTTGTTTTACCACCCAGCGAAAGAAAAACGCCGAGGAAAAACATGCACTTCACGTACAGTACTAATAACCTTAACAGTTAACATTCTCAAAATCAAATAATCTAATTCAGAAAATTGCAAAAAAAACACCAACCTTAAAAACTAAATTTTCTTCTTTTAAAAACGGCCTTAGAAATGATAATTTCAACAATATGTTTGAAAAGTTATTCAAAATTACGGCAGTGTGTTTTCTTTTTTCAAATTTTTTAATTCAGATTCAAAATCAGTATTTAAAAAAATATTATTACGGAGGAAATCATTTTTTAAATTGGGGAATCATTTTATCTAAAAAATTTAAAATATCATTGTTCAAAACATTTTTCTCTAATTCCTCTTTAGGAGCTCTTTCATTATCTTATGACAATTTTTTTCTCTAGCGAAAATTAATTTTAAAACAGGGCATGATTTCTTAATTAAGAACATTGTGCTCATTTAACATTGCTAGCGGAGACATGTACTGTCTTCTATGCTTTTCTGTTAATGACATCTGATATGCCAATCTCTGCCTCAAATGTTAAAATGTAGCAATTTCACCCTTCTGGTGGATAACATTCTTAAGGAATTTGTTTCTGTTTAATGACTTTGTGATTGAAATGTGAAATTCAAGCTTTCTTTTTTTTTTCCCCTTGTGATTTCCATGAATTTATTCATTGTGCATTCAAATTGTAAGTAATGTATTCATTCATTGATTCATAAATCACATCAATCGCATAAATATTACAAAGAAAGAAAGAAAAGAAAAATTACATTCTTTTTAGAATATGAGAATCGGTTAGCATCTTGAATGCCTTCAGAATTGACTCATAATTAACCCAAAGAATGTCTTATATAAATAAGTAGATGTCATGCATAAGCATTACGAAAAAAATAAGAGTAATGTTGAACAACTTCTGGAATTTGAATTTCTGAAGCTCTTCGTAGTTCGGTTACTTCTCTTGATAAAGACCATTTTGAATGGTATGATATTTAACAGTCATAAGTGCAGATGAAACCTATTAATATGTGATGTGTTGTTAGTGCGTGTGTGTAGAAGCAATTACAGTATAACTCCATTTATTCTTTTTGCACTTAATACTCTTTTCACAATTATGCGTCGATTTTTTAAGTCCCATCTGAATTCCTATAGTACTTCCTTGTTAAATTATTTCAGATATCTATGTTACGAATATTTGTTTTACACGCTAATATGTTCATAATATAACTCTCTCCCTCCCTCCCTCTCTCTTTCTCTCCGTCCTTCCCTCTCCCTCCTCTTTCTTCATCTCTCTCTCTCTCTCCCTCCTCCTCTCTCCTCCCTTCTGCGCTCCTCCCTCTCTCTCCCTCCTTCCTCCTCTCCCCTCTTTCCTCTCTCTGTTGATGAAATTGTGAAGAACATTATATTACCTTTGCTTTTTAGCATCACTGAACACTAGGAAGAGGACTGTTGGTACAGTGATATGAAAATAAAAAACCTGTAGAAGGTACAAATAAAATACATAGTTTCATTTTTTTATTAGTCATTAAACAATATTTTCTGTGAAGGGAAGTTAAAGAAATATCAATTTAATTAACTGTATTACATAGTGTTATTCTTATAAATATCCCATCTGTTTAAATTAAATCCATTCAATACTTTTTTCTCTAAATATAATTGGCAATAAAGGTCATAAGTATGTATCTGGTACATTGTAAGGTGTGAATGTCTTTATTCATTGTTCTGAATGTATAAATACGGTAATCGTCTACTGGTGATAGAGAGTGACACTGTAGCAGACAACTGCAGCAGAACAGAAAGTAGACATTTCTATTGTATTCAATTTCTCAGAATCATCTTGGAGTCCTACTCTTAAACTTATCAGACTTATATACTTTTGTAGAACACTTCATAAAGTACAGTGATTTTTGAATTTTTAAATTCTCAGGTTAAGAAAGAAATTTCAGAAATGAAAGAGTATATTTTATTCTTTAATATCACAAAATATTTAATTTCTACCACAGTTATAATACAACTTACAAACAATTAACTTCAGTGATGTGATTTTTTGAGAATTAATATTGTCTCGAAAAAACTTTGGGAAAGAATTGAAAATGTGTATTTCATATTTTTGTTTATATTCTTTATGGGAAAAAAGTTCTGTGTCCTTAAGACCAAATTTTCCTTAAATTTGAGCAATTTGATAATTTTTACAAAAAGTTTAGTTTTCTTAAAACTTAGTTCGGATAGTACATCATTTTTTTAAAAATAATCTCAACTATCTGCTACACATAAAGGTATATACATTTTATAGAGTTTATCAATGGTTTTTAATTGCAACGTGGGTATTTACTACTGAATACTGTCTTTACATTAACAAATGTGTCTGTGATAACTATATTACTGGATGAACATCAACAAGTTTGACTATAGCTATGGAAGATTTACTTAACGGTAATTCTTACACATTGATACATCAACAAATTTTATTGTAATCTTGAAATATTTACTTCCTAAACAGTTGTTATGCAGTCAACTGTTGGGCACTGTATTCTACATAAAGCACAATTGTTCAAACCCATGAGAATCACTTTCTGAGAATCAACAATAATACATTTAACTACCTTACAGAAGAATTTAGTTTTGAAAGAAATATTTTTTTTTTTAATCTTTAGTTGACACAAATAATAAGATGAAGTCATAAGCTTCTGCGGCCAGAGTCATGTGAATGATCTTGGCTGCCCGGGAGATACCGCATCGAAGGATGTGTTGCCAACATTCTGACCATCTTATCGTGGTCTTCCTTAGGGCTGGTCTGCCGAAGTAATATATTAAATAAATATTGCACAATAATTTCATTGTATTTTTGTTACAATTGTGCTCCTTCTGTAACCAGAGAGATTGGTTCATACTGTAAGGGAATAGCTGATACGACTTCATATCAGACTACAGAAATAACCAATAGATTTTTATTGACACCATACATAATATGCTAGCCATATTCAGATTTCCTTTAATTATTGTGAATTCATGCATACGTCATTATTAACATGTTTTGTGCGATGAATAAATAACAAGTGCAAGTTACTTTTTAAGTGCATATTTTATGGTTCTTTTACAGATGATTTAGCCTCCATGCTGGCAGCAGAGCGATTATCAGAACTTGACATGGAACCCGATCAGTGGGATTTTTGACAATTAGTGGCCCACCTGAAAATGGATGTCTTGTTTCCTCATAAAGAACTCGGTGTGATATGCAAACTCAAATTTTTACTAATCCTAACTGGACGTAAATATATACTACTGTTATAAAGTGTAAATATGCAGTAATTCTGTGAACATTGTTTATTGCGATAACTTTATTATATTAAAGGAAATTACTGACAATAAAATGGTCATCTAATTTTTGTTTGCAAATGCTGTTTAATTGTAGTTTTCAAATGGTTGATGATCATGTATGAGAAACCCGTCCTAATAAATCTAATACAAACAGACCTTAAAGATTTGTACTTCTTTCTATTATATTTGTGTCGGAGGATATGTTTTATGTAGCTGTTATTTCACTTGGTACAAAAATTGTAGAGCTGTTTGGGATTGTCTTTCTATTGTGAAATTTTTATCAAGTCATTCTTAAATCATGTTTTAGTAATAAAGTGAATGGCTGTAATTTAATGTCTTCATTGTTTATATAGAATTATAACTCCTAAACAAACAAAAAGAGGACTATTTTTTCAATATACAAGACAGGCTGTGCTATGCCAAAGAAATATTTTTCAAGTGATTAACAAGATAAATTAGAAATAAAATATATGGTGCTTAATTTGTATAATTAAGTGTCAGAAATGCATAAAAGCACTTTATCCTGTGAACGTACTTGAATTTTATAGGGTTGTAATAGTAATCCTAATCAACCTTCAAAAATTTCCATTTGACTTTCCCAAAATATCCCGTTTTACTTTCTGTTTCGTGTTAACTGTTTTGAGCTGAAACAAAGAAAAAAGAACTGGCATATCACATCCTATGATGTAGAAGGAGAATGCCTGACAAAAAATTTCCGTTTCTCTCTGGATTCGCTAGATGCATTAGGTGCTGCAATTGGACTACATGTACAAATTGAAAGAAAAAAAGGAAACTGGTCAAAACCTGCCTCCTCCTCCTCCTCCTCCTCTTCACCATTTCAAGTTTTAAACATAGAATGTACTAATACTGTTAAATTTTATGTAGATGCTGAGAGAATTGATATCGTGTATTGTTTTTTATTATTACTGTTGTTATTATTATTATTATTATTATTATTATTATTATTATTATTATTATTATTATAAGTAGTAGCAGTAAAATGACAATAACATTTTTAAATGTTAAATTATCTGATACTAAAAATAATTATCTACTGTATAATATCCTAATCTATCTGTAGCAAGTATTGTGGTATAATTCTTAGGCCATCTCAATCAGGACACATGACCCCATCTCAATCAGGTTTTTGTTCAGTTTCCCTGGTCCCTTGAGCAAACGCTGAGATGGCCCCTTGTTTTGCTCCTAAACAGTAATGTAACTTCTCTCATCCACCCAAGACATCATATTGACTTGACATACACGATTGTAATTGTATATGTGATTCAATAAATATTATTATTATTATTATTATTATTATTAAATTCATTGTTTCTATCTGGGTAGAAAATAATATTCATTGTTTGTTTACTTTCCTTACCGTTTTCCTACACCTGTTATTCAAGTGAAAATAATTATTTTTCTAATAATCGGCTTGTGATCATGAAGTAAAAATATTTTATTAATTTGTTAAAAAAAGAAGGAAAAGAAGAAAGTTCCTCAGTGGAGGAGAAATTTTATCTTAATTTCAAACAATGACACTTGTTAAATTACTCTGGTTTGCAAGTTTGAAATGGTGATGATTTTGGTGGTTTAAACAGCAATGATTTTGATGTGCGGATTTGAAATCTACAAACCTTTTGTTTGGATGAATAAAGGTAAGAATGAATAAAGGTAGCAACTAGAATGTTTAGGAACATTTGAAAACTCGAATTTTTCACTCCTGAATAAGAGAAAACATATTTGGATGAATTAGTGATTTGATTTTATAATTTTTCTGACCAAATAAGAACATCTCCACTCCACTCCACTCCTACTGGGGCTAGCAAAAAGAGCACTCAACAAGTTGTGCCTAATGAGGCTACATTTACAAGACGTTTGCTCTATGAATTAAAAGAACCTGACAAAAAACTTGATCAAGATTGAAGTTATTGAACTATGATACTTGCTACAGGCATATTTAGTCTTTTCGAGTTAATTAAACAGTACAGTAGTAACAAATACATTTATAAAATTATTTAAATGAGTATCATTTTCGTTTTTGGCAGTCAGTAGTGTCTCTAATTGTACAGAAACAGTTACGCAGCAGAAAATATTTTACTTGGCATCGAAACTTGTCTCGATTTGATTGTATAATAATAATAATAATAATAATAATAATAATAATAATAATAATAATAATAAATTTGTTATATGAATACATAAGCCATGTATGACCCGTCAGGATATGTACTTAATCATACAAAGTACAATACAGATATTTCTAAAAATTAAATACAATATAATACAATACTTATTAATTTTATAAATAGTAGTGTACGAATACTAAAATTGAAAAACAAGAACAGAAAAAATTGTCTTCATAGGAAATTCATGCCTGAGCTGGGTCCGTCCTTCATATCCAACAACCAGTTTG